ATAGCTCCTGAGATAGATGATTGAATCAATGTTGGAAACTCACAGGGTGGCTAGTATGACTGGGTAATGGAATGTTTTCAGATTGTTTCATAAAATATGACCTACCCCAGAAGGAAATTGTCCTCTGGTGATATTAAATCAGAGGAAGTACTATGAAGATACACTAGCACCTTGTTTTGTCTCATCAAGAGTCTGGCTCCTAATCTTAGCTCAAAAGGCAACATTTTATTACATTATTTATTAGTTGGCTTTCTAATGTAGCATTGGTGGAGAGGGCGTTCCTACTGCAGCTCAGATTGTGGTCAAGGCTTACCCATTAAAATGGCTGATCTAAATCTCTTTAAGGTTGCCTGATGTTGACATATAACTTTAGGTCCAAAAAGTAGCATCTTGGCATGATGCCGTTAACAGCTACATTGCTCGTTAGTATTTGTACTATCCCCTCCAGTTGTATTTTCCTTAGAATGCTGTCTCTGCCAATTCCTCTGCTACGTGATTTATTACTTGATACTCACTGCCATGAGATTTCATGAAAAATGTGGCTCCCAACTACAATCATTTATATAGTATAAATCTCCTTTAGCACTCATTATTAAATAAGTAGGGTATTCCTTGAGATGACTTCATACTAGGTCTTTGCCAAACTTTTGTTTGAGGCTGTCAGTTTAAATTTGTTGGATATATCTTAATTTCTCACTCCTTTTATACTTTAGGCAAACTTTGAAAGCAAGTTTGATGTGAAAATGCTTGAGAACTTGCTCAACTCAATTTCTACACCAGTCTCCTTGCAAAAACTTTGTCCATGGTTTAAAAATGATGTGATTCCATTTGTGAGAAGGACTGTACCTGAAGGACAAGTGAGTTGCTTTCAGGATTTCTTCTTTTAATGGTTTAATGTTATTTTTTATCTTTGATCCTTGAAGATTAAGTCAGGTTAACACCAGTTATTTAAATTAATGATTAACTAATACCAGTGTTAGTTAAATGTGTCTCTTTTAAAAGATGATTGTGGGCCGGACGCAGTGGCTCACACCTTTAATCCTAGCACTCTGGGAGGCTGAGGCGGGTGGATCGTTTGAGCTCAGGAGTTCGAGACCAGCCTGAGCAAGAGTGAGACCTCGTCTCTACTAAAAAAAATAGAAGGAAATTAGCTGGACAACTAAAAATGTACAGAAAAAACTAGCCAGGCATGGTGGCACATGCCTGTAGTCCCATCTACTCGGGAGGCTAAGGCAGGAGGATCACTTGGGCCCAGGAGTTTGAGGTTGCTGTGAGCTATGCCGATGCCATGGCACTCTAGCCCGGGCAACAGAGTGAGACTCTGTCTCAAAAAAAAAAAAAGAGAGATGATTGTGGATGTTTTTCGTTATTCAATTGAGAATTTAATTTTTAAATGATATGTCTATTTCAGAAAATTATTGCAAAATGGTTAGAGCAAGCAGCCAGGAATCTTGAATTAACTGATAAGGTAATACCAGTTCAATTAACATTAAAAAGACATTTTGCATACTCCGGACAACATAAAACATTGTTTCTAATGGCCTATAATACTTTTTAAAGGCAAACTGGCCAGAGAATGGACTTCAACTGGCAGAGATATTTTTCACAGCAGAAAAAACTGATGAGTTGGGATTGGCTTCCTCTTGGCATTGGATTTCCTTGGTATGATGTGAAGAATGAATTTTTAGTAATGAAACAGTCAATTTTTATGAAAGGGATTGTCTACATGTATGTAGAGAAATGTATCCACTTCTTAAATTTCTTGTCTTAATGTTCTGTTTATTTTGTGCCTTTCAAATCCACGTAAAGGAAAATTTGCTTTTTTTCCTTTCTGACATGTATGACATTTGTGTCTGACATCTTTAACCTATTTTAATGCATTGTTGTTCTCTATTAAACCACCCTAAGGGGAAACAATATGTAGATGTTCTCTTAAGTAGTATAATTGGGATTTTCTACATTAGCAGCATTTCACAATCCTTTAAAAAAATAAACCTTAGTAATGCATTTGGATTAGTTTTCAAAGGCTACATCAATCAGGTCTCCTTTCATTTGAACTAGTAAGCCAGCCCTTCACCTGATTGTATTTCTTAGATATTCTAACAGCCATTAGGGCTAAAGTGTCAATGTCAATGATTTTTTTAAAGGCCAAATTGTAAAAAATCTGGGACTTTCTGACAGTCTGAAAAAATAACAGTGCTAGAGGGGAACCACGATCAGAATGTTGATTATACTCAAGGTTCATAAATGGAATTTGTTATTTGGCCTCTAAATTTATTAAGTTTATTTCTTTTCCCTTTCAGGTTTCTAAAAACTAGAAAGCATTCATTATACTGAAAAAATGTACATTTTTGTATTTTAAAAATAGTTTCTTAGAAGTGCCATAATTTAGTTTGTAAACTAATATGAGACATGTCAATATAATCTTACCTCTGAAGTATTACGCACTTAGTACCAGCAAATGTGACCTTGAAAGTAGTATATGTTATGAAATTGCATTTCATTCCTTACATTTCAGGATCCAGAAAGAAATAATAAATTTCCTCCTACTTTCTGATATAGAAGATTCATGTTATTAATTATACTTACTGATTATATTCTCTTAAAATATGAATTTTTTCTATTCCATAAGTTTTAATTAGTCTACCAATTGATCGTTGCAATGTGTATTTCCATATCAGAGTTTTTTTCTCTTACCAAGTAAAACACTACTTTGTCTTTTCCCTGTTAGCTGCCTTTTATCAGTATTGAAAATCTGTTCCTTGTACATAATTTTAGGAAATGTTATAGCTTTATATCTTATCATGATCTATATAAATAGTTGGGACATTGAGGGCCATCTCTTTGTGTACCTAAGTGTTTTTGAGTTCTGAAAAAATATTGTATTAATACTGTTATTTTTTCTATTTTTGTTGTTTTTAGAGAAAGAAAATTTCTTTCATGGTTATTTCTTATTTTATCTGAAATAATTCTGACTTCATCTATTTCCCCTCTAATACTTTTATTTTGTATCTTTAACAACTTTTCACACTTTTGTTTCAGAAGGATTATCAGAACACAGAGGAAGTATATCAGTTAAGGACTTTGGTAAATAACTTGCGAGAGTTGATTACATTGTATAGGAAATACAACTGCAAATTGGCTCTCTCTGATTTTGAGAAGGTAAATGTCTGGGCTCATCAGAATTATTTTTTGTATTATATCCAGTTATGGCTCAAGTCTGCATTTAAGCTGTATTTCTTTTGGCCTCCAGGAAAATGCGACCACCATAGTGTTCCGAATGTTTGATAAAGTGCTGGCCCCAGAGCTTATTCCCTCCGTCCTAGAGAAGTTTATAAGAGTTTACATGAGGGAACATAACTTGCAAGAGGAGGAACTTCTTTTGCTGTACATAGAGGTAACTTTTTCTTTATGTTGTAGTGTGGAGGACGCAAACAGACCACAGGAGAATTCAATGAAGCCAAATTGAGAGTCTTTATTAGTTGGCCAGCGACCACCTCTGCCCGCATAAAAGCAGTACGAGAGGATGGCCCCATCTCAAGTTTCTACGAGGGTTTTATACTATTTTTGAGGGAGGCTACGTGACATAGGGCAGGTGTTCAGGGAACAAAAGCAGGGAGCGAAGTCTGGGTTGCAAGATACAAGGTCACTGGACATAATTGCCCTCACAGATCTCTGGCGCCCGAAGGCAGATTACAATCCTCAAAGCAAGCTGCAAGCAGGGTTACAGAAGCAGATGGCAGTTATTAGACAAAAGACTATTCTTTCAGTGTAACACTTCAACTATGTAGCTATAATTTAGCCAGCCCCTGGCGTATCGCTTATTTCATTTATTAACCCCTTATTGTAAAGCTCTCAGCTCACCACATTCCCCACTGGTTTTTACCGAGGGATCAAATCCTTGATGTCCCGTTATACTTCATTTTCACAAATGTGGTGATAATGGGTGCGTAGCACCATTAGCTTCACACTCTGTATACGTTTCTGTATATAGGTTATTAAACAATTAAGTATGCATGGTCCGATGAGAAGCATTAATAGAACTAAAAGTAATGGACCAGCTATAGCCGACAGAAGGGTGGTGAGCCACGGAGACCAAGTAAACAAATTTTTATACCAATTATTTCCAGTGTTTAGTTGTTCTTCTCTTTCTCTTATCCTGTTCCTCACTTGGGAAAGGCTATTTTGAATAACTCCGGAATGATTGGCATAAAAACAGCCTTATTTCTTGGATCTATGCAGTTTATCTTCATATTAAATGTTTAACTCTTTAAGGAATGTCATGCTTTGCCATTAGGACTTACGCAGCATATTAGTTAAGACTGTAGGTTAATTCAGCTGCTAACTGACTGAGGCCCCTGAGCAAAAGAGGGTAATATTAGGGCTTTCCCCAGAGCACTGTTGTGAGATAATGGGAGTATATGAGCTCAACATACTTTAGCAATTATTTTTTGTCAACATTAATATGCTGCAATAATCTTATTTGTAGATTCCTCAAGCATGTTTCCTTCTTATACTTTCTATACCTTATAAAACCGAAGGCTAAAGTTTCGGCAGTTTTGTATTTTTTGACCATTGTTTAATATTCATGACTAATTGGAACTTTTTGGGTTATTTTATACATTCACAAAGGCTATTTATTTAGATCTATCTGTGTGTGTTTACTTTTTTTTTTTAGAGACAGGGTCTTGATCTGTCACCCAGACTGGAGTGCAGTGGCAAAATCATAGCTCATTGCAGCCTCAAACTCTTGGGCTCAAGTGATCCTCCTGCCTGAGCCTCCTGAGTGGCTGGGACTACAGGCACAAGCCACCACACCCAGCTTTTTTTTTATAAGAGTTTTTAATTTTTAATAAACATATATATGTTTATCATTTTTTAGGATTTACTCAAGAGATGTAGCTCAAAGTCCACATCACTCTTTGAAACAGCATGGGAAGCAAAGGCCATGGCAGTAATAGGGTGTTTGTCTGACACAGATGTAAGTAAATAGTGACCATTTGGGTTTCCCTTTTGAGCACTGGGTGTTTTCTTAAAGCTTTTCTTCTGACCATAAAAGTAACATATATTTGTTAAGTAGAATTTGTATAGTATTAAAAAGGCATAAAAAAATAAAAATCACCCATAATTCTGTTTTCTTTAATTATGGAAAACAAAAAGTGAACATTTTTTCATTCCCAGCCCCAGAAGAACCTCCGTGGTCTGTTGGGTGCGTATCTTTCCAGATTTTTCTGTGGTTATACAAACAAGGAGACATTTTTTAATATGTTGTAATATGCTGTTATTCTGACTTCACATTGTTATTAGTTACCATTATAAAATATGAATAAAATCATGAAAGCTGTTTTCAGACCAATAGGCTGTAGAGAGCAATAAAGCTGTATGTCTTAGCAGGCAAAATACCCTTCTCAATTTTTCTAGATAATAAAATTGCTGTTTGTATGTGAGAATTGGAGGAAACATATGCTTTTGCAGTCAGTAGATGAATAATCTCAAACTACCTTATGGTTGAGGTAAGACCTCTGCTGATTAGGCAGTGCTGCTAATTTCCATGAAACGTGAATCCAAGGGCTACCCGTTGTCTGTTCCGTATCTCTTTGTAGCTCATATTTGATGCTGTACTTAAAATAATGTATGCAGCAGTGGTTCCTTGGAGCGCAGCTGTGGAGCATCTGGTGAAACAGCACCTGGAAATGGACCATCCCAAGTAAGGTTACACTTTTTTTGTGCTTTTGGTAAACTTCATATTTTAAGTTGACATTCGTTTACATTTTTATGTTATTTACTGTGTCCATTTACTGTGTTAGTATTCCATAAAAAAGATAATCCATGTTAATATCCATAAATTTGCTTTTAGAGTCAAGTTATTACAGGAAAGTTACAAATTAATGGAGATGAAAAAACTGTTACGAGGCTATGGAATAAGAGAGGTGAATCTCCTAAACAAGGAAATAATGGTAAGTTATAGTATTTGAAGAGTCTTTGTCCCCTTCCTCCCATTTCTAGGGCAGCATGGGAAGCTAATGAGGATTGTATTCTAGGAGGTTACTAGAACTAGGTTTTCCACTGCTTTTCTTTTGTTAGATACAGTGTTTATAGGGTGTTCAGTTGTTTATGACAGTATGAAGGGCAGCAAATGATAAATTAAGAGGCTAAAGAATAAAGAAGACAGGACTGTCATATGATTCAGAATATAAATTGTTTTAATCTTTCATACAGTTTATTTTTTTGCTGCATTATTTTAATTTTCTGACCACTTTGCCCTTATGAGCAAATGACTTGTGGATTCTCTGAGATTTCGTAACAAAGAAATGTACATATTGCCCCTGTTTCAGAGGGTGGTCAGATACATTCTCAAACAAGATGTCCCATCTTCTCTAGAAGATGCTTTAAAGGTAGCCCAGGCGTTTATGTTGTCTGATGATGAGATCTACAGTCTAAGAATTATTGACCTAATCGATAGAGAACAGGTATGTAAGTTTTGTATTGTCATTTCATATGGCTTCTTTGTTAACTAAATCCTTTTTTTCTTTTTCTTTTTCTTTTTTTTTTTTTAATAGAAACAGGGTCTCACTCTTGCTCAGGCTGGTCTCGAACTCCTGAGCTCAAGTGATCCTCCCACCTCGGCCCCCCAGAGTCCTAGGATTACAGGCGTGAGCCACTGCGCCCAGACAACTAAATCCGAAAAAATTACTGAAACCCATCAAACTGTCCAAACAGATTTGCTCAAAATAAAAACTTAGGATATCATATTGTTTACTTTTTTCATATCTGTGGGTTCTTTAAAAGTATTTTGTGAATAGGTAATGAGCTTTCATACTTTGGTAGTTAACAAAACTCAGACTCATGTTTTCTGTATGTTATAGGATCCTTTGATTCCAGAATGGGGTGTAGGTTTTCTTTCTTATGTTTTTTATATTTTTAACCATTTTTATTTTTATATAATTCTATAACTATAGGTATGCCTAAGAATTAAATCTTCACTGCCAAGGTACTGAAGATAAATTTTCAGAGGGCCGGGTGCAGTGGCTCACACCTGTAGTACCAGCACTTGGAGAGATCACTTGAGCCCAAGAGATTGAGGTTGGAGTGAGCTATGATCACATCACTGTACTCTAGCCTGGGCAACCCTGTCTCAAAAAAAAAACAAAACAAAAAAACCTCTGAATTTTCAGATTTTAAAACATTGAACCATAATTTATTTTTTAAAATGATGTCTTTTCATCTTTAAATAGGAAAGAAAGAGGTAAGTCCAAATTGTTCTTTGCAGGTACCAACTGTTTTTTCTTCCTTTCAAACACTGTTTCTAGGGTGAAGACTGTCTCCTTCTGTTGAGGTCTTTGCCTCCTGCTGAAGCTGAGAAAACTGCAGAAAGAGTCATCATATGGGCACGATTGGCCTTACAAGAAGAACCAGATAATTCTAAAGAGGTGAGATTTTCACTAAGTAAAATATCAATGAATCCAATTTTTATGGATAATTATCAATAGGATAGAAAAGATGGATTTAGAAATATGAAGATCTACCTTTCTCACTGCTGAGTGGCCTAATGTAAAAATTCCTCTAAATTTACTACACAGGGAAAAAAAATAAATCAAATATGGCTGCTTTCTCGAGCCCACACAGAATAACCTAGGATCTGCAAATTAGAAGTATTACTTGAAGTAGCTGTTGTACATAAAGGGTTTTTCACAATGCCTTGCAATATAAACTGTTTTGTATTGTATAGGACATAATTATTGCTGTTAAATAGTAATGTCAGCTACAGAACTAATGTAAATATAAATAATACCAGAACATTGAAACTTAGAAATGGTTTGAAGAGAGTCTCTTTACTTCCTTTTTTTTTTTTTTCCGATAGAGTCTTGCTCTGTCACCTCAGCTAGAGTGCAGTGGCATCATCATAGCTCACAGCAACCTAGAACTGCTGGACTTAAGTCATCCTCCTGCCTCAGCCTCCTGAGTAGCTGAGACTGCAGGCATGCGCCACCACGCCCGGCTAGTTTTTCTATTTTTGTGGGGATGGGGTTTTGCTCTTGCTCAGGCTGGTGTCAAACTCCTGAGCTCAAGCAAATCCTCCTGCCTTGGCCTCCTAGAGTCCTAGGATTACAGGCGTGAGCCACCACACCCAGCCCAGTTTATTTCTTTACAGATAAGGAACCAAATACCTAATTTATCCAGGATAGTTGGGTTTTTAAACCCTTAGGGATAGATACCTTCTAACTTCTCTCAGCAAGTTCATTTCAATAATTTTTTTTCCTTTAGGGAATTAGTTTTTTTTAACACCTAGTATTTTTATGCTCTTAATATGCAGAAGGCATTAGGTTAAATACTTGAAATAAATTATCGACTTCATCTTCACAAAAGAGCTGTGATATAGTTCCTGTTGTTAGCTCCTTATATATTAAGTTCAGAAACTAAAATATTAAGATAAGTGACCTTTTCAAGGTTATTACAAAGTGGAAGAGCCTCAACTCAAACTATAAACTACCACAGTCTGTGTTTTGAACTGCTTCAATAGTGGTTTTATATTGTACAGGACATAATTATTGCTGGTAAATAGTAATGTCAGCTACAGAACTAACATAAATAATCCTAGAACATTGAAACCTAGAAATGGTTTCAAGAGAGCCTGTTTACTACTTTTTTTTTTTTTTTTTTGCAAGATTGAGTCTCTCTCTGTCACCCCAGGATATTTTAATTAAGCTTTGTCCTTTTTTTCCCTTCTCTTTTTTTTAAAAAAAAACTTTAAAAATAATTACTGGAAGAGTGATTATTTATTAGACTTATTTTTTTTTTAACTTTTCCAAATGTTTTTTTAAATAGTAAGTAACTAAAAAAAAAAAGAAAAGATCTGTTAATCACAGTGTAGTTGAAAGGTTATTTGGGAGAGTTGCATGTTCTATGGTATTTCCAAATCGTATATCTAAGAGTCTACCCTGCAGTATTTCATGTTTAGCCTCTGTCAGACTTATTTAGGATCCACTTGTTGGTTGCCCAACTCTTCCTAACACAGACCTCTCATTTTTTAAACAACTTTAATTGTTTTTCTGATTCTGTGGCTTCTGGGTGTGTGCTTGTACGTGTACTACAGAAGTGGTCAATAAAGGTAGTCAATTTCATCCTGCATTTTTCTTTTTAGGACAAGGCCTGGAGAATGTCTGTAGCGAAGACGTCAATAGACATTCTTAAAATACTACGTGACATTCAGAAAGGTAGTTTCTTCCTCTGTTCCCTCATCTTGGTTTGGTTCCAAAGCTCATCCTTTTCAGAAAGGGGCATGGATGACAGCTGTCATCATACCCGCAGTTTTTCTGACTCTGATTATCTGTATGGATCTTACCCATTTTTTCCATGAAAAATCTTTTTTGCCTTATTCTTGTGTCAGTAGTGTAAGAACAGAAGCATGTAGCATCAACCTTTCATTTGTTTATGTGCTTCAGTGAGCTATTTAATGCTAGACTAGATTTCTTCGCTGCCTTGCACTTATTGCTCATTTTTCTCATTTATCAGTTGGTTATGATCAGGGAAAAGAAAAATCCATTTAAACTTGAACTTAAATAAAACAATTAAGAAAGTGTGTCTCAGGGGGAGGGGAAGCTACAATATATTTCAGAAAAATAGCTTTCTCTTGTAGCTTCCCTTTTCTACCTCCAGAAAGAATAATTAGATTTCTTTTTTCAAATTAGATTTATTTATTTTTTTGTTTTGTTTTGTTTTTGAGATAGAGTCTCACTCTGTTGCCCTGGCTAGAGTGCCGTGGCGTCATCCTAGCTCACAGCAACCTCAAACTCCTGGACTCAAGCGATCCTCCTGCCTCAGCCTCCCGAGTAGCTGGGACTACAGGCATGCGCCACCATGCCCGGCTAATTTTTTCTATATATTTTTAGTTGTCTAATTAATTTCTTTCTATTTTTAGTAGAGAAGGGGTCTCGCTCTTGCTGAGGCTGGTTTTGAACTCCTGAGCTCAAATAATCCGCCTGCCTCGGCCTCCCAGAGAGCTAGGATTACAGGCGTGAGCCACCGCGCCGGCCTAGATTTATTTTTGTATGTATGTTATCTGAAAAGAACTACTGAAGGCTTGAGATAAGAGAACCAAAGCTAACTAAAATGTTAGCTTTTAAAAATTCCAATAATGTGGGGATTTGTATGTCTGCTGTAACTTCTCAAAATTTAATTTCAGACAATCTTCAGAAGAAGGATGAATGTGAAGAAATCTTGAAACTATTTAAAGTGGTTGCTAGCTTACAGGTAAAGATGCTGAGCTATATCGAACGTTATTATTAATACTTGACCAATCAGTGTATTTATTTCTCCTTAAAATTTTCTGCATCAGCCTACAGGGACTTGAGATACTGGTTATACTTCATTCTCTCTCCGCGCCCCCCCCCCTTTTTTCTCTCTCTTTCTCTGTCTCTCAACAGCTTTATTGAGAGATAATCCATATACCCTACAATTCATTCATTTGAAATATATAAGTCAACAATTTTTGGTATATTGCATTATTTTTTTAAATTGTGGTAAAATACATATAACAAAAAATGTTCCATTTTAACATTTTTTCTGTATGCAATTCACTGGCATTAATTACATTCTATCTACTTTTTCATCACTCTAAGCAGAAACTTTGTAGCAGAAACTTTCCAGTATGTTAGTCATACTGGAACCGAGAAACCCTGGTTGCCGTGATATTTCCCTATTTTCCAAATTTTTTATAATATTGTTAATTTTATGATTTGAAACATAAAGTCTTAAACTGTTAATTTATGAAGAAGTAGTCTTTGAGGGAGAGGTGATAAAGAAGAGTTTAAAAAATAATGATAATCCTCATTCAAGCAACAGAGATAGAAAAAAAATAAAGATCTTTTTAACAATAGATAAACTAAACAAGACTTGGGATTTTGTCTTGCTTACCTTTGCTACAGGAGAACTTTGAGGTCTTTCTTTCATTTGAAGATTATAGCCATAGTTCCCTGGTAGCAGATCTCCGTGAACAGTACGTTAGAACTCATGAAGTTGCACAGGCTAAACACAAACCCAGGAGCACCCCAGACCCCACAGCTGCTGAGCTGAAGAGGCTGAGCATGGAATCAAAGCTGCACAGACAGGCACTGGCCCTGCAGGTGTCCAGACAAGAGCTAGAGGCACAGCTGACCTTGAGAGCCTTAAAAGACGGAAATGTCGAAACAGCACTGAAAAAATGCAGGTACCGTTCCAGATCCCCGAATCACATAGCTTGTCTGAAAGTATAACAACATTTACTTGCTTTCTTCAATAGCAAGGGTAGGGCCAGTGGCACTTTTCTTTTCACATAAAGAATTCTTGATTTCTTGCCCTGAGAGCCTGTTTTGGGCCTCTGTGTCAGAAAATAGTCACGTCAAAGGCAAGTAACAAATACTGCAGAGTGAGCTAACATGACCATTAAATTTAGGTTACTGTGCACTTCAACATGTAATGGTATCCAAAAATAAGTTGAAAAATAAAGTGCACTATATACCATGAAAACATTTTGGAGACATTTTAAGTGTTGATGGCGATGGCTATATCTTAATCCAAGAAAGGCACATTCATTTACTTTCAATATGAGTATTCTAACTGCCAATGCTTCCTTTCCTGCAGAGATTTGTTTAAGTATCACTGCAACCCTGACACTGGGAAATTACTGTTTCTGACATGTCAAAAGCTTTGTCAGATGTTGGCTGATGATATCCCAATGACAGCACCCGTGGGAGTGAACCTTCCTTCCGAGATACATGATCTAGCATGCCAAGCTGCCACCATCTGCAGTCCAGGTGACAAGATTTATAATATACATAGTTTTGTATTCTCAGGTTCATTTCATTCTTGTCTCCAAAATGCTGTCTCTACACTTGAGCAGTACAGTAACTAGAAAAGCAATAATATCACCATTTTATAATAGGACAATTATAATTGATTCTCTTTGGAGATTATTGTTGTAAAATGTTTCAGGTATTTCAAAATATTAACAATTGACTGTTGTTATTCACTTTAGTAGGATTGTGAAATTCTTTGCTTCCCCATATCTGATCTTACTTTTAAGCCAAGTTTAAGAAAAAGGTTGAACCGTATTATTTACAATAGTCAAAGCTATGTTGAAACCTTTCTACCTACTTTGTGGCCTTCCTTAGAATTTTGAAGGGTAATTATAAAAAGGTTGTTTTCATTGGAGACATGAAATATGCGTTTAATGATTTCTCTCCATTTTCTTTCAGATTTTTTACTAGATGCTTTAGAATTATGTAAATATACTTTAACAGCAGTAGAGCTTTCAAGACAATGCCAAATGGATGACTGTGGAATTCTAATGAAAGTAAGTTACTTTTGAATTTTTTTTCCTTAAACAAATTCCCTGGCAACCATTGTGCCATTTTTAAATCACTTGCACAGTTTACAAAAATACTGACTCTACCTCTTATGTTTTTTTATTCTAGAGTAGAAAATTTCTTCTTCATTTTTTTTTTTTTTTTAGTAGAGACAGGGTCTTGCTATGTTGGCCAGGCTAGTCTTGAACTCCTGGCCAAGCCTGGCCTGCACCTGTAATCCCAGCATGAGGCCGCTTCTCATTTCCAATAACATTTATTGACTTTTATTTGCACTGTCTTTTAAAACACTGGGCTTCAGACAAGGCCTCTCTGGACATGATCCTTCTGTTAGAGTTTAATATAAAATGACATTTTTATAAGACTTAGACCAGAAGAAACACGGTACATAGTTGTATTTGACCTTCAAAACTGTTTGGCACTAATATATCTGATTGTGGATTCTGCATAGTGAAAATGCCATCTGTGTTCTGCAGTGTCCTTAATTCTGTCCTTTCTGTGTGATTTGGTACATAGACTGCTTTTGGAACTCACAAAGATCCGTACGAAGAGTGGTCCTACAGTGAATTCTTCAGCGAAGATGGAATTGTTCTTGAGTCACAGCTGGTGCTGCCGGTTATTTATGAATTGATTTCATCACTTGTGCCTCTAGCTGGTAAATCTTACTTGTATCATTACTTTGTATGTCTTTATGCTTTATGAGAATTTCAATCGAAGAGGTTTGGAACTAGTACTACACATAGTGATACATGTATTATAGGCAGTGTTGAGCAAAAGGAGCCAGATACAAATGACTATATACTGTATGATTTCATTTACATAAAGTACAAAAACAGGCTAGGACTAAGCTGATGCTGTTGGAAATCAGGGTAGTGGTTGTCCTTGGGGGAGTCAATGACTGGAGAGGACGAAGGGGGCTCCTGGATGCTGATAATGTTGTGTTTCTTGGTCTGGGTGCTGCTCCATTCAGTCCTGGACATGTATGAAGTTGTACACCTACCTGTGCGTTTTTCCATATGTATGTTTTAATTTTTTTAAAACAGCAGTTTGCTTTAGATTATTGGATCATAACACAATATTTAAATATCTCTGAGTTCATGCGCTTTATAAGAGAGTTATTTTATTTGGTGTTATTTAATTTATTATTCTCTTGTAGAAAGCAAGAGACATCCCTTGGAGTCTACAAGTTTGCCGTACTGCTCTATTAGTGAAGGTATTTGACATCAGAAATGTATACGGCATTGTATTAAGATTTTATGGATACACAGTTACAGAAATTCCTTGAATTTCTGAATATGAATCTGACTTAATGTCCTTAACATAATTATTTAGTTATCACTCTTCCATTGCTAGTCATCTAAAAGGTCAGGAGATTGTGCGATTTAGCTTATAGTATTAATTTTTATGAATTTGTTCATAAATTTTAGTCTTCCAAATGGAGAAATGGTTTTGGTCAAGTAACAATTTAAACATCTCAATTAAAATAAGCACATTATAATCAAAGTATCTCATTATCTAGTGGACTTAGTGATTTTCTGGTTTAAATCAAGCCTCATGTTAACTCTCTCATTAACTAACTTTGAGAGTGAATTCCATGACTATTACCTGCATTGGAGAAGTACACTGTCCCTGAAAAGTTTTCTATAACATGATCTTTCTTTGCCTGTAAAATCTAAATATTAAAATCCTTATACTCAGATGAAAATCCTTTTATCACTTCGCAGGTGATGGCCTTATTTTACCTGCTATAAATTCCATTTCTGCCCTGCTTCAGAATCTTCAGGAATCTAGCCAGTGGGAGCTGGCCCTAAGATTTGTAGTTGGTTCATTTGGTACCTGTCTTCAGCACTCTGTGTCAAACTTCATGAGTACCAGTTTAAGTGAAAAGGTATAGTTTTGAGAACAAATACTTGGACTTTGGGTGAATATAGATACAAAAGCACTGCCAAACGAAGGAATTGGGAGTCCACATTATCCTATTGGATAATAGGATAGCAAGGAAATTGACAATCTGTCAGATTGAAAAAATATTTGTTGAGCATCTGCTAAGATTCCAGTGTAGTTCAAGGTGTTTGCACGTGATTGCATACTCACTCTTTACAGCAACCCTGACAGTTCCATTCTGCAAATGTGGGAACTCAGATTCAGGGAGGTAAAATAAATTCACTGAGGTTTTAGGCTGTAGTAAGTCTTTGCACGCCAAGCTCAGTGCAGTTTTGTCTATACCACATTGGGTCAAAAATATCTCTCTGCTGTTTGTTTTGTTGTCCAAATTATTGTAATTATTTCCCGACAGCATCATTGACAAGATTCGAGAAGACAAACCACCTGTCGGTACCTTGCTTATGAAGCTGGTCTCAGAGGGAATTGTCTTCATTTCTACTTCTCTGCTGATAATTATTAAATGCTAATTCTTTCTTTTTTAAATCAACTTTATTGAGTCATAGCTTTCAAAATTAAAATGCACCATGTTTTAAGTATATCAACCAATGCATTCACCTTGTCACCAACACTGCAATCTAGATACAAAGTATTTTTTAAAGTTCATTTTTGCCCCTTCTCAGGCAATCCCCCACCCCCAGCTCTAGCTTGGTTATAGATTAATGCAAATACTTTTTGCATATAATGATGAATTTTCAAAATTGCATAATAGTTGAGAAGAATTTTCAGAATGATACATAGACGTGGACCTAAAGATTCTTTTGTTCTTTTCTAAAAGTTATTTGGACAGACCACCTTAGTTAAATCAAGGAATGTTGTTATGGAATTGAAAGAAAAAGCCATTATGTTTATCAGGGAAAATGCTACAACACTGCTGCACAAAGTAAGTATTTGTTCTTGGTTTCTTGGTAAAATCTTTTTTTTTTTTTTTTTTTTTGCCTTTTACCTCAGTCAACAGTGCATGTGATTCATGGTTCCATATGGTAGTGTTTTACTCTTCAAAAGCTTCAAGAACCTGTATCACAGCTAATTGTTGTGGTGGTTTTTTATTATGGTAATTGACATTCTATGGAGCATTTACGAAATGGGTAGTCAATCTTTCCCACTTTTGTCCCCAGATTTTAGTTATTTGTTTTATGGATGAAAGCATTACAAGGATCCTAGCTGTAAGTTATTTCTGTGCCAGGAATCCTAATTTTCCATTAGCCTTTATTTTTAAAAACGTTCTAGTAGACTTTTTTATTTTTTTCTTTTCTTTTTTTTTTTTTTTTTTTGTTTCTCTCTAATAGACTTTTGGTGAAAAAAAGGTTTGCATTGGGCATTTAGTTTCTATTTGTCAGATTACTTTTTTTAAAATGGAAATAATTTCGAAGTTTTAGAAAATTTTTAAGAACAGCTCAAAGAGCTCTGGTACACCCTCATTGCTTCATCAGTTGCTGGCTTGCTCTCTTTCTTTCTATATAATTATTTTGTATTTTATATATATATATTTTTATGACCATTTAGGAGTAAGTTGCATACATTATGGTTCTTTACCCCTAAATATTTCAGTGTTTGTTTCTTGAGAATAAGAACATTCCCCTACACAGCAGCCGTTATTAACTCTGTTAAATTTAACAATGATACAATACTCGTATTTATTGTCCATATTCCAATTTTGTCTGTTTACCCGATAATGCCCTTTATAGCATATTTTCCACTTCAGTACAAGATCCAGCCTAGCATCATGTATTACAGGAGTCAACAAACTACAGCCTGCAAGGCCAGCTGCCCATCTGTCTGGTTTTGTTTACAAAGTTTTGTTGGAACACAGCCATGCCTGTTCATGTACACACTGTCTCTGCCACAAGGGAAGAGGTGAATAGCTGCTACGGAGGTCTTATGGCCCGCAAGGCTGAAATATTTACTGTTTGGGCATCTAAGAAGAAGTTTGCCAACCTTTGACATATTACATTTAGTAGTCATCTGTTTAGTCTCCTTTATTTTAATCTGAAAGTCTTTATTATAGTCATCTCTTTTCATCTGAAGTCTTTACTTTTCCAGCTCCAAAATGACGTCAGGGCCTGGCAATAAACTGCATTTCTCTTTGCAGTTCTCTGGATCCTGGATCTTTTCCCCTTTACTTCATGAGAAATCTTTGACACTGTGTGCATAGATTTTTCTTCCTTTTTGTATTTGCAGTGTCTAAAGGATACTGATTTTTGACTATGATGTCATATTTTGCCTTCTGAGGCTCCCTCACACTATGAGATGAAAATTTTCTTAATCATGAGTTTTGTGCCAAACTCATCACTGCTCTATTTTTAGTTCAGTTAGTTCTAAGCCCTAAATGTTAAATTTATTCACTCAATGATGTTTTACTTGTGATGAAAAAAAAACACCTAAAATTTACCATCTTAGCTATTTTTAAGTGTATAGTTCACTGGTGTTAAGTATATTCACATTGTTGCAAAACAGATCTGCAGAACTTTTTCATCCTGCAAATCTGAAGCTCTGCACCCATTAAACAGTAATTCTCCTTTTTTCTCCCCTAGTCCTCAGTAACTACCGTTCTACTTTGGGCCTCTATGAATATGACTACTAGAGATACCTCATTTACATAGAATTATATATTATTTGTCTTTTTGTGACTGGCTTATTTTCACTTAGCATAATGTCCTCAAGGTTCATCCATGTTGTCACTTGTGACAGAATTTCCTTCCTTTTTAAAGCCAAATAATATTCCATTGTATGTATACCACATATTGTTTATCCATTCATCTGTCGTTGGACACTGGGTTGCTTCTACCTCTTAGCTGTTGTGAATAGTGCTGTTATGAACATGGTTTTCGAGACCCTGCTTTCAATTCTTTTGGGTATATACCTAGAAGTGGGATTGATTGATAGATGATGTGGTAATTCTATTTTTAATTTATTGGGGGACTTCCATACTGTTTTCCATAGCAGTTGTACCATTTTACAGTCCCATCAACGGTGTGCAAGGGTTCCATTTTCTCCATATCGTTGCTAATAAATAAGATGAGGACTGGGAACTGACCATCGAGTTTGGCCCCGGAGGTCACTTGTGACCTTTGTAAGAACAGTTGGTGGAGTGTTGGGGTTGACAACCTCTTAGGCCGTGGTCCAGGAGAGCCTCGCAGGGGGGAATCTTCTGCAGTGATTTTCTTTAGAGGGGAACAGAGAAATAGGGTAGGAGCAAGAAGACGTCAGTGATTTTGTTTTTAAGATGAGAGAGAGAGTATTGAGCCACAAAAGAGGAAAAACTAATGGTCGTGAGACAGAGTGGACTTTGGTAGGAGCAAGGCTTTAAGTAGATGAGAGGGGCTGGGGTCCAGCGAACACGCAGAGGTTTGGCCTCAGGTGGGCAGGGACAGTCGGTGACTGGAGGAAGAGCAGAGTACCTGGCACAGGTGCAGGGGCTGGTCGATTTGGTGGTGGGAGGATGAGGCAGCTGTCTTCCAGCTGCTTCTGGTTTCTCGGTGAGGCAGAAAGTGAGGTCCCTGGCTAAGAATGAGGAAAGGGAGGAGGTGTTGGAGATGTGGAGAGAAGGGATGAAAGGCCGGCGGGAGAGAAGGGAAGAGTTCTGTGCCCTGTGGAACCTGTTACAGTTGCTTTCCTTAAATTTCTTTTTTTTTTTGAGACAGAGTCTCACTCTTTTGCCCGGGCTAGAGTGCCGTGGCATCAGCCTAACTCACAGCAACCTCAAATTCCTGGGCTCAAGCAATCCTCCTGTCTCAGCCTCCCGAGTAGCTGGGACTACAGGCATGCGCCACCATGCCCGGCTAATTTTTTCTATATATTTTTAGTTGTCCGGTTAATTTCTTTCTAATTTTAGTAGAGACGGGGTCTTGCTCTTGCTCAGGCTGGTTTCGAACTCCTGAGCTCAAACAATCCGCCCGCCTCTGCCTCCCAGAGTGCTAGGATTATAGGCATGAGCCACCGCGCCTGGCCTGCTTTCCTTAAATTTCTGATAAAGGACATTAAACCTAAGTAAACACATTGGAACTGTGTTACTATAAATAACTTTTCATGAGACACTTGTTCTTTCATAGTGTCTGTAATTCAGTTTAGTGATAAATAAGCCTTCAGATACTTAATTCTGTTTCAATTGTTAGGAATTAGCTTCTTTTAATGTTTTCTTTCTGTAGGTATTTAATTGTCGCCTGGTGGATATTGACCTGGCCTTGGGTTACTGCACTCTCTTACCCCAAAAAGACGTGTTTGAAAATCTCTGGAAGCTCATAGATAAAGCATGGCAGAATTATGACAAAATTCTGGTAAGCCCTAAGGAAGCACACCTTCAGTTTCCGAAGTATTAAAGAATTTGGGGGAGAAATGAAGTTGGCTGTGCCACCAGGCCTTAAAGATTTAGTAGAAGAGATGTTGAGCGAACTCACATGCCTTCTACCAGCTTTTGCTTAACTAGTGACATACTGGTGAATGTGTATGTGAGTCACAAGCATTGCTCAACCCAAAGAATTACAACATTTTTTATTTCTTAAAATCTGTATGCATAGGTTCAAATCCTAGCCAGGAAGGAAAAAAGAAAAGAAAATCTGTATGTAGCCTTTGAACTTCACGTCTTATACTTACACCAGTGTATTTGAAACCCTAGACCCCGAGTCAGTTCTTTTGTAGGACAAGTTTAACAGATAGAAAACTTCTCTTGGATGTTGTTTGTTTTAAAACTTGCCTTTTTGTGGGGATTTTGTTTGCAAGATGACCAAAATTTGGCCTTTCATTATAAAGGAAAGCCAGATGAAATTCATGGCATCATACAAAAAGCTGAATTCCCTAAATATTATATGAGAAGTAATGACTGTGTAGAAAGCAATATGTAACATCCTATACTGTTATCACAAAGGTTATGATTTTTATTGTTGGGTTTCATCTAAAAGGTATTAGAAGAACGTATTCTATTTGCGATTGAACGTTAATTCTGTTTTACTTTTTTAGGCACTATCCCTGGTGGGCTCTCAGCTGGCCAGTCTTTACCAGGAAATAGAAATGGAGCTTAAGTTCCACGAACTCAGTACTGATGCCCGGTGGGGTATTCGCCTTGGTAAACTTGGAGTGAGTGTTTGTACTGCTGTTGTCCATTCTGACAATTACCCAGTTGGAAAATCGAAGATAAAGACCTCATTGTCCTTTACCTTTGGGAAGAGAATGTATATGCACTAACTCATAAAGTTTATATTATTATATATATTATATATATAATTTTATATAAATATAAAGTTATATTAAGTACACATATTGATGCTTGCAAAGAAACAAGGATCTTTTTGCCTCATTTCCTTTTTTCTGTAATTTTGAGGAAATTAAAGGGCCCAACATTTTCAGCTGCTTAGCTTTCTCATTTATGGGTATATGTCTAGTATCAGTTGACATTTATGCTATTTCAGGCCTAGACTTTAGCCTCATACTTTTGTTTTCTGCTGCTGCTATTTGGTTAAAGATAATATTAAAATATATATGTAAGTATACTGTGCTTCAAGAGCTGTTATTAATAATAGGGAAAAATAAATGTCCCTTATTTTTGACTTTGCATCAGATCTAGGCTTTTTAGTGAAAAAAGAAAAAGAAAAATGACTTAGCAAAAGAATAGACAAAAATGTTACCAAAGATGTAAAACATCTTATTTTATTTTCAAACAGTTGGCTTATCAGGAAGGTAAGCACTGCAGAAATGGTATATGTTTTGAAGCCTAATTTCTGTGTAGTAATGGGATTGGTGTTCCACTGACCCTAACAACCAAACTTCATGGATGAAGAGGCAACAGTTAGGGTGGCTAAGAGAGATTTTGGACCTGCATACATCTCAAATCTCAGAACGATGGTTGGGTTGGGTATAAAAATAAAAGTTGGAGGAAGTATAGAAAAATTTTCCTTTTAACAAAAGGATAGGCAGTGTGCAGTGGCTCACACCTGTAACCCTAGCACTTTGGGAGGCCAAAGCGGGAGGATGGCTTGAGGCCAGTCTGGGCAACAAAGTGAGACTATATCTCTAGAAAAAAATTAAAATATTAGCCGAATGTGGTAGCACGTACCTACAGCTGTGGCTACTTGGGAGGCTGAGGCAGGAGGATTGTTTGAGCCCAGGAGTTTGAGGTTCAGTGAGCTGTGATGATGCCACTGCACTCTAGCCTGGGCAACAGAGCAAGACTCTGTCTCCAAAAAAAAAAAAAAAAAGATAGTAAAAGGGTAAGTCATAATGTTTCCCTTGTTTATAGGGTTTTATTTTGCTGTTTTTATTTCTAGATTTCTTTTCAACCAGTTTTCAGGCAACATTTTCTCACCAAGAAAGATCTCATTAAAGCACTTGTGGAGAATATAGATATGGACACAAGCCTCGTTCTGGAATATTGCAGGTAATTCCTTAAACTTCAATGGTATTTTTGCTGTTAGCTTAACAAACTGGTAATCATTGCTTTGAGAACACAGTAACAAAGATGATTATTACATGGTCCATAGACCTCCAGTATTTTCTTTGCTCACTCCCAAACCGAGCAAATCCAAAGCTAGATTAAATTCTCTTATGATTATCACCTTTTCAATTCACTGTTTAGTGTTTCCCAACCTTGCCTCATGAAAAGCATCACCTGGGGCACTTGATCAAAAATGCAGATTTCTGGGCCTCTCCCTGGCAATCAGAGCTGACTCAGTGGGTCTGGACTGAGGCCTGGACATCTCTGATCTTTAACAGGAGCTCCGAATGATTCCTGTGATCAGAAAACTTTGGAAATATTCTTCTGTGTAATTAAACTTCTAAATCAGATCAACTTAGGGAGCAAAGTAATCTTAAATTAACAAATAATGAAAAGTATGATTTAAGGAGAATTCCTAATTTCCTATTAAAAACTTTGTAAGTAAATTTAAAAACCTAAATATACAAAGTGTGTTATTTATAGATTCTGCTGACTTTGATGAGTAGGAATAAATGATTTATAATTTATATCTCAGATGCTTCTGTCTTTTAAATATGAGGACTCATTTGCTGGTTTCAAAGTGCTTTCACACACATCATCTCATTTAATTTTTACAATTTTTATTGCATATTAGTGCCAGTTGATACATGAGAAAACAAGCCCAACTTACACAACCTACTCGAGGTCAATTATAAGTGACTGCTTCTAAATGCTAAGGGTGCTCTAACCCCCATCTGATTTGTAACAGAGCAGTGGAATCTGAGATACTGATAATGAGGCAGCTTAGTGCATTTCCTACACCAGGCAGCCGTACAGTTCTTTCTCCCTGTAGATAGTGGGGAATAGAGTAATGACCCTGGCTGTAACCTTCCTGAGCCTATAAGTCAAGGACTATAAGCTGCCTGTAGCTCTAAGTAGCACTGACTTAAACTGTACTCTGAAATAACAAAACCATGCCATTCTTTGGTTTGGAGTATTATGAGGTGCACACACTCTCTTTTATTAACTTGCACTCCCGGCAGATTCTTGTGTGTTGTTTTATAGTACAAAACCCTTTTCTGAAATTTGAGTAGCTGTAATGTCAGGTTCATTTCATGATCGTTCTGATTACGTGGCATTGATGATTTGTATTTGTGTGACAGTGACACTTTTGCCTCAAGCAGTCTATCTGAATAAATTTAGATGACCTTTAGAATATTACAGAGTGACTTGAAAATGGCTGTGCCTAAAGCTTTTCTTTTTTTTTTTTTTTTCTATATATTTTTAGTTGTCCGATTAATTTCTTTCTATTTTTCGTAGAGACGGGGTCTCGCTCTTGCTCAGGCTGGTTTCGAACTCCTGAGCTCAAACAATCCGCCCGCCTCGGCCTCCCAGAGAGCTAGGATTACAGGCGTGAGCCACCGCGCCCGGCCAAAGCTTTTCTTGATATTTTATATATTCTGTATAGCAAATTAAACCATCACCGTCTTATTAATAGGGCCTGAAAAGGCATTTCAGTTGTCGCTTTGTCTATACTAATCAGATCCTAATTTTTAAATGCTTATTTTTTTCTAACTCAGCTAGAACATATTAAAATCAAAATCCCACATAATCCTAATACTCATAGATAATCACAGTCAAAAAGAGTTTGGCTTATCTTGTCCTTTTTTTCCCCTATACATAGGCTAACAGGCACTTTATAAAATTTGTTTAAAACAGAATTATAATTTACATATCATCTTATAGCACATCATTTAATTAACAATATGTATTCCGAGGTTAGTACACACAGACCTTTGTCATCTCTGTTGAAATCTGTGATATTCCTTTGTATGGATAAGGTTAAATTTCAGAGATGGGAACATGCACCTGAGTATTTTGTCAGAAACTCTGCGTGGAAATGCATGCATTTAGGGAGATTAGTGTGTAATTGAGTGCTTCTTTTAGCACATTTCAGCTGGACTGTGATGCAGCTCTTCAGCTGTTCATCGAAACACTGTTCCACAACACCAATGCCAGCCAAAGCCAGAGGATTGGGATTGCAAGCCCAGAATCTACAAAGCAGCAGCGGTCCAAGCTCCTGGCCAAAGCCCTCGAGATGGTTCCTTTACTGACAAGCACAAAAGATTTGGTCATCAGTCTCAGTGGAATACTACATAAGGTAGAGGAATGGTGAAATGAATGTATTGGCTCATCTCAAACATCCCTCCCACCCTTAATTAGATATATGTAGTCACAAATTGGATGTATATGTTCTATATTTTTATAAACTTTTCATTTTGAAATAACTCTAGATCTCTATATTTTTAATACAGTTTAATGCAGTAATTTTCCTGCCTTTTTTTTTTTTAAATAGGCATAGCAATTTTTTTTTAAACAACAGGCATTTATTTGCTCGTAGTTCTGGAGGCTGTAAATTCAAGCTCAAGGTGCCAGCGGGGTTGGTTTCCTCTGACCCTTTTCTCCTCGGCGTTCAGATGACTGCCCTCTGCCTGCCTCTTCATGTGATTGTCCCTCCATGCATGTCTATCCTTTGTGTTGTAGACGTAGCAACATAGCATTTTTTTCCCAGATTTTTGAAAATAGCACACATTCTTTGAAAAAATGTCAAACTAGAGAGAAAGGAATAAATCAAAAAGGGAGATTTCCCTGTAACCCCATTCCTTATAGATAAAAATGTTAATAGTTTGCTGTAGGGACTATCCTATTCTAAAAGTACTATTCTGTTATCTTCTCTTTTTACTTAACATAATCTCATTGCATGTCAATACATAGACATCTATCTCATTTTTTGACAGATGCATATTTATTATTCCCCTATATGAATAAAACATCAGCCTTTTATGGATGGACATTTAAATTGTGTGTAAATTTTATTTTTTTTAATTTTAAAAAAATTTTTTGAGATGGGGTCCTACTGTGTTGCCCAGGCTGGTCTTGAACTCCTGGGTGCAAGCAATCCTGCCTTGGGCTCCCAAGTCGCTGGGACTATAGGTGTGTGCCACTGCACCCTAAATTTTATTATTATAAATTGTTACAATGAATATCTTCATACATACATTTTCGTACTCTTGTTTGATTATCTTTGCAGATCTGAGAATTGGAATTTTTAGGTGAAGGAGTAGTTTAATGGGAGAATGTAGACAGGTGGCAGGAGAAATAAGGTTGTAAAACTGCAAGAAATATTTCAGTTTTGTATTTTGACTGTAATTCAGCCGAAAATTGTATAGACTTGCTCAAATTTTCTAAGTGCAGTAGTTCATCTTGCCACTTTGTTCAATGTTGTTTTCATGTGAGTTTAGTTGGCATTTAAAAGAGATAGAAAAAAATTAATGGTGTGTGGGCAGACACAAAGAGCAAAGGGAATACTTCCTTTCTTTTTACAAGTATATATAGATGCCACCCCATTAACTTTTGTATTGCAGTATATAGGTAGAGCTAAAACAGAATCCTTTGAGAAACTTTTGCTTGGAGGCCCGCGATTTTAGTTGTGTCATTTCCAAGAAAAGGTCAATTTCTTCCTGTTCTAATTTTCCCATCATAAGTAGAAGAAATAGAACTTTAATTCCAAAAATCTTATAAAATTATAGAATTTTGACCATATGTTTATTCTTTTTATGTTTTTAGTATTTTAAGAGCATCTTTCTTTATTAAAACAACATTGCTTTGTGCGGCTTCTTTTTAATAGCTTTGGAGATATTTTTAAGCATATCTGTTTATCCTAACAGAGGTAATTTTAGAAGTTAGAAAATTTTAGCTAACTTTTGAAAGAGTAATTGATCTAATTTAACATGGTAGTGCACTGAGATTTTATATTTGTGGCCTGTACTGATGAACGTAATTGAGTAAAGCTGTTAGCATGACAATACCTTCTCAAGGTTGGATGTATTTTGTTTTTGTGCAGTTGGATCCCTATGACTACGAAATGATCGAAGTTGTCCTGAAAGTTATAGAAAGAGCCGATGAAAAGATAACCAATATTAATATTAATCAGGTATAACAAATATGTTAAAGATTTAACACTTCTTCACACTTTTATTTGGATCATAAATCATATTACAGTTGTCCAGTGTCTTTCTGGATTATACTTTGAGCTCCCTTTAAACTGTTCACTTTATTGTAGATCTTTTTTTCTTTAAAAGGAACACAAAAGTAAAAAGATTTTTATGCTATCCATGTTTGTCACTTATCTTCATCCTATTTTTGCTGTATCGAGGTGATTTAAACCACTTCTCCTGCTATCCAAGAGCAGGAAATCGCTAGAGGACTAACTGGGAAGAGTTAAGGCAGTATTATTTGCCATCTAGCAAGAACAAAAGGACAGGGGCTCAGAGGTAGATTCGGCTTTGTATATTAATGGGTAGGTCCAGGACTTTTTAAAGTCCTAGATAAAGTGTTTTCCTCCCAGATTTTTGAAAATAACACATACTCTTTGAAAAATTCTATTTCAGTACTTTCATTAACTTTTGAATTTCTGAATTTTGGTCATAGTAGCTTTAATATTTTTAATTGGATTTTAGACATTAAAAGAAAATGGCCGGGCGCGGTGGCTCACGCCTGTAATCCTAGCTCTTTGGGAGGCCGAGGCGGGCGGATTGTTTGAGCTCAGGAGTTCAAGACCAGCCTGAGCAAGAGTGAGACCCCGTCTCTACTAAAAAAAAAAATAGAAAGAAATTAATTGGACAACTAAAAATATATAGAAAAAATTAGCCGGGCATGGTGGCGCATGCCTGTAGTCTCAGCTACTCGGGAGGCTGAGGCAGGAGGATCGCTTGAGCCCAGGAGTCTGAGGTTGCTGTGAGCTAGGATGACGCCACGGCACTCTAGCCTGGGCAACACAGTGAGACTCGGTCTCAAAAAAAGAAAATGAGTTGATTCAAAAGGTTATATAAGCCCCCAAGTATAAAATATAAACATAAGAAGGATAAGGGATATAGGGAATTAATTTTAGATCGGCCTTCTCTCCTTTCAATGAAACCAAGTATTTTTTTGAAGTATATCTCAAACTATTTGAAGAACACGTAGAGAACTGCCCAACTCTCGTTTACAAAACATCCTACCAACAAGATAGCATTGGTTTCTCCTAGTAGGATTTCCTTAATGATCATATACATTATGGTTTAGAATAATAACGTGACAGAGAAGACTAGAAAATGTTTTGATCATCTTTATGAAAACAAGACTGTGTCAGAAATGGAAACCTTTGATGATGTAAAGTTAGAAGATTTTAAAACAGCCTAGGATTCGGTTATTCTCACAGGAAAATTTTTTTTTATTTTAATGTAGGCATTGAATATTCTGAAACATTTGAAGTCATACAGAAGAATTTCTCCTCCCGTGGACCTAGAATATCAGTATATGTTGGAACATGTAATAACTTTGCCATCAGCGGCCCAAACTAGACTGCCTTTTCACCTAATATTCTTTGGCACAGCACAGAACTTCTGGAAAATTCTCTGTATGTTCATTAACTTTTAATGTATTTTACTGAATAGTCAAAAATTTTTTTCCTAAGCAAATCATACCCTCCTTGTTTTCTTTCCAGCTACAGAACTCAGTGAAGAATCCTTCCCAACGTTGCTCTTAATTTCTAAATTAATGAAGGTAATGGGTTAAAACTTCGTGAAACATTTCTTTATCCTATAAGTAATTCCAACCCCATGTAAAAGATTGTTAAACTACTTTCATGGAGAGCCTTAAAGGTAAACATACGAATCAGCCATAACTTTCCTTTCCTTTGAAGTTCTCTCTGGACACACTGTACGTGTCTACAGCCAAACACGTTTTTGAAAAAAAACTGAAGCCAAAGCTCCTGAAGTTAACACAAGCGAAGTCCTCACCACTGATTAACAAGGAAATAACTAAGATCACTCAAACCATCGAGTCCTACTTACTGTCCATAGTCAACCCCGAGTGGGCCGTAGCGATTGCCATCAGCCTTGCCCAGGATATCCCTGAAGGTAAAGGTTTGTCCTTTAAAATTGTAGTTAAAAAAAAGTATTTCTTTTATGTCTTTAAGGAGGAACGGTGTAAGGGTTTTAAAATGTATGTGCTGGCTCTCTTCACTCGTGGCACTGCTGAGTGCTAAAAACCGCAAGCGAAGTAGGCAGGGTTCCTGGCCATGTGGTCGGGGTGCTGGATACAGGCGCGCGCCAGCTTGTTGGTAGACATGTAAACTGATGTGTGCTTTCTAACATCCGGTTATGATGATGAGTCCTTGGATAGTCTCACATAACCAAACACACAAGCACAGGCGCTTATTGCCATGTTTTCAATTGTAACACAAGTTTGAAAATGACTCTTTTGTTAAAAATGCTCACTGAGCAGGAACTAGTTAAAAAAAATAGGGTATATTCATAGAATGGAATACTGTATAGCTGATTTGGAAAGATATCTAAGATATAAAGTGAGAACAGCAAATCGTACTAGTGTATGTATGGTCTTATCCCATTTGTGTCAAAATGGGTATGTGTGCCTACACATACACACACACATACACACAGAAAACTTCTGGAAGGAATATAAGAATCTGAGGAATGGAAGCTGATGAGAGCCTCTATGGACTTTTACCCTCTAGTTTGTGTCCTTCTGTCCTGTTTACATTTTTTTTTTACTGCGAGTATGCATTTTTATAATTCCAAATCTTACTAATTTAGCCAATAAGAAAATATATTTTCTTAAAAGGATTAAGCTTTGCTTATAAATCTTTCTTTAACTTTTTAGGTTCCTTCAAGATGTCTGCTTTGAAATTCTGCCTTTATTTAGCTGAAAGATGGCTAGAGAACATCCCATCACAGGTGTGTCTGGTTTGTTTGTTTGTTTTAATTTCAGAATATTACAGGGGTACAAACGTTTTGGTTACATGTATTGCTTTTATACAGATTGAGTCAATGTTATCAGTGTGCCCATTACCCAGATAATGTGCATTGTACCCATTAGGTGTGAATTTACTGAACCCCTCCTCCACCTCCCACCTGCTTGATTTCTGTTGAGTTTTACTTCCATATGTGCACATAAGTGTTGATTGATTAGTTCCAGTTTAATAGTGAGTACATGTGGCGTTTGTTTTTCCATTCTTGCGATACTTCACTTAGAATGGTCTCCACTTCTTTTTTTTTGTTTTGAGACAGGGTCTCATTCTGTTGCCCGGGCTAGAGTGTAGTGGCACGATCTTAGCTCACTGCAACCTTAAACTGGGCTCAAGCGATCCTCCTGCCTTAGCCTCTGAGTAGCTGGGACTATAGGCACACGCCACCACACCTGGCCAGTTTTCTTATTTTTTGTAGAAATGGGGTCTCACTATATTGCCAAGGCTGGTGTTGAACTCCTGGCCTCAAGTGATCGTCCCACTGTGGCTTCCCAGAGTGCTGGGATTACAGGCGCGAGCCACCGTGCCAGGCCTACGTGTGTCTGAACTATGAGATTGAAGGTTCCTCTTCTGAATTAAGCTGTGCTTGCGTAGCCTGCCTTCTCATTATGCCCTGGTGCCTCGAATGGAGAAAGAAGACTACGACTTTGTGTAGATGCTTAAGGACGTAACTAAGGAAGGGCAGGACCATGATTCATAAAGTTGGATTCTTAGTCTCAAGTGAGATTTATAAAATAAGATTTTCTTTTTGCTTGGAATTTTTCAAAAGGATGAAAAGCGTGAAAAGGCCGAGGCTTTGTTGAAGAAGCTCCATATCCAGTACCGGCGATCGGGCACGGAAGCTGTGCTCATAGCCCACAAGTTGAACACGGAGGAATATTTAAGAGTGATAGGAAAGCCAGCACATCTCATTGTCAGTCTGTACGAACATCCCAGCATCAATCAAAGAATTCAGAATGCGTCTGGCAAAGATTATCCTGGTGAGGACAAAACTCTTGATTTTTTTTTTTTTTTTTGGTTCAAGAACTATCATTTTGATACTGAATTTTCTTATATTGACAACTTGAGTTTTTCTTTTTTAAAAATTCTTTATCTTGAATATCTTAGATATTCACGCAGCAGCTAAAGAAATATCCGAAGTCAATGAAATTAATTTGGAAAAAGTCTGGGATGTGTTGTTGGAGAAATGGCTGTGCCCTTCAGCAAAACCTGAGGAAGTGAGTAGTCACAGCCGAGAACGTCTGCTGTTGAGTACAAGCCAAGCGCTGCTTCTCGGAGGCTGAATGTTTGTCCTGCACAATTCAACCTTAGATTTTTAATTCGTAGTTTTTTATATCACTTGGCATTTGATTCAACAAGTATTTTTTAAGTGTTTACCAAGAGCAAGGACTGTGCTTCAGTGGGAAAAGAGGAGTTAGAAGCATGTCTAGGCCACGTAGAATCTGTGGTTGACTTCAAAACCAGCATTTATAGATGTTTTAACTCATACATAAGTTCAAAGTACAAACTAAAACTTCCTTGAGGCCAGGGATGACATCTGTGTACAGAATCTAGCACACAGTCCTCTGTAAGTCCTGATAAATATATACTGAATTAATGAATGACTCATTTAAAATGCACAGAGTCCTTTCCTTTTAAAAATTATCCAATGAGCGTAAGCTCCAGGACAGGCATACTTGTTTTGTTTACTCAGGCAACCCATGCACTTAGAATCATGCCCATCACATAGTAAGTGCTCAGTAAATGTTTGTTGAGGGAATGAATGTGAGTAAACCCATCTCTTAAGCAAAATTCTTTTCATAATTATTTGCATTATAATTTTTCTATGTAAACATAATGTTGTATATTGGTCTTTCATCTAATAGATGTTCATAAGATCAAAGTTTTTACAGTCAAACTTTTTCTTCAGTTTTTGATCTTTTTTCCTACTTTTTCAAAGAATCCATCGGAATTGTTTGAACTTCAAGAAGATGAAGCACTACGAAGGTACTCATTTCCTTTACTTACATTCGCCTATATCTTTCTGCCTAATAGAAATCTTACCAATAAATTTTTCAGAGGTTGGTTTTTAAAAGACTTTATTAATATAACTTGGGTCAGAGTCTCTGAGAAGAACCAATTCATTGATACATGGCTACGAGTATCTCCAGTGGAAAAAGACAGAGACAGCCAAGTCTAGAATTTCTGACCCCCCAGTGAGCTCCCATGAATGTCAAGGGTTCCTAGAACATCTTCAGCAGAGAGTGTATCCCAAGCAAAGGAAAACTCTTTTATTAGCTGGGACTTTGGCCCTGGGCCCCTATATGTTCTCTCACCATGGTAAGCTGGCGTGGTTCATAAATGGACCATCAGATTCCCTCTGTCCTTGTAACCTATGGCTGAGACCAAGAAAGGTACGCTGATTTTATCTAATATGCTGTCTGATTGGTCATGGCTTGCTCTCCTGAGAAGACTGTATCTGGGCCCAAATCAGAAAGAAGGTGGCAATCCATGAATGTTGCTCGGCGTAGGCACGGAGAGGTCGTGGTGGCACGCATGCCAGCTTTTTGCCTTTCCTGGCCCAGAGCAAAAGTAGGTCAGGAGGCCTGGGAGGCCGAGGCCCTACATCCTACCTTGGCCCTGAGCGCTGACAGTGAGAAAAGACAAACCCAAGGAGAGAGTTTCTCCCAGATTGGAGCAGAGCTGGCCTAAGCAAGCACTCCATGCCCTCCTTCCCTCTGGACCCCACCCCTGGCCTCGTTTAGTCTTTTAAGGGCAGGGGCACCTTTGTTCAACAAGTAGCTCCTGGGGTGTCTAACTGAATCAGCCACATGGAAAGTCTTAGAGGGAAGCAATTCAAAGAGAGGAGGAAAACAGGAAATCCTAAAAGTTCATAACTTTCATGCAAAGTTCGTAGCTTCCTGCCTTTTTCCACTGAAAGCTCCACCCCACCCAAACCCTACCCCACCCCTATCCATCTGGCCCTTTCCTGGGAGAGGCCAGCCTGCCCTAGAGGTCGACTCTGGAGGTTGGAACGTGTCACTAACAAGGTCCTGGGTATTAAACACAGAATTTCCCTTGTGAAGTATTCAAAGGACTTTACAGCTACAGTTTGTGTTAATTTCTTAAATAGAAATATTGCCTAGCTCTTTTATAGATGAGGAAACTGAGGCCTGGTTTTATTGTATATATTTTCCTCGTTGGCCATGAAGGAACCCAGGAAAAGATTAAGCCTCCTTTAAAGGGGAAGCAAAAATGTCATTGACCCATAATCCTTCTTGCCTACATTTGGGATGTCTAATGACTGTCTGTGGGCAGAAACATAAGTCTACTGTTTTGGTAATCTAGCGCTAAATTAAATCAATGTAATTACATTTTTTCCCAGAGTGCAGTATCTCCTCCTGTCTCGTCCGATGGATTACAGTTCAAGAATGCTCTTTGTGTTTGCAACATCAGCAACAACTGTAAGCCTAGAAATTTAATCAAAACTCGTCCGTGCACCTCAGCTTAACACTCTTTCCCGTGCATTTCCCATGCTTGATTTCATGAACAGAGGATTTAGGATGCTCACATACATACTTACTCAGAGTGTATCTAGGATGTGAGGGCGATCTGGCTGCAACATCTGTCACCCCACTGATCGCCAGGGTTGATTTGGCTGATCTGGCTGGCTAGGCAGGCGTCCCCTTCCTCCCTCCGCGCTCCATCTGCGTCCCTCCCAAAGCTGCATGCTCGGTCGAAGAGGATGACTTTCCCCGATAGAGGAGGACCGTTCTTTGGTCAAGGGTACACGAGTAGCTGTGCTCCCTACTAGAACCTCCAGACGAGCTCTCAAAGTGTATCTAACGTCATAAACAAGGATTGTGCTGTCCACCGTGCTCCATTTAGTGCTGGCCTCGGTAACATCTGCTCAGCAAACTGCATGGTGCACCTGTTAACAGTTCCCACAGGTTATCTGTATTCACTGTTGTTAACTCCCTGATCAGTCGACATTCCTGACACCCGGGGGCTAAGAGAACTGGCCACAAGAAAAGCTTCCCCCGTGGCATCCTGGCCTGGCACACTCAGCTGCCTGCTCTGGTCAGGGTACCCTCTCTGCCCACCAGACTCCAGCTAGACTGAACTCGCCTTCCCTGAAGGCAGCACGACCCCTGGCTTCAGGTGTTTGCATATAGAAAGGTCCTCTGAGGCAGCTGGAGCAGAGGGAGAGGAAGGGTATGACACCCACAGGCAAGTGGTTCTTCCAGAAAAGGAAGAAAAGGGGGAAGTCAGATGCTGGCTGTAAGTCCATGATAGGAAGGAAAAATGATCCCTTTTTTTCCTTGCATATGAGTCTGTTGTTGAGTCACTCTTTCAAATAAAAATGGTATCCATGTGAAGTGGCTAGTGCAGTTCATGGCTCAGCTGTTTAAGTACTTTTCCTTGCAATATGTTTCGTGTATTTCCCACTGTACCACATGGAATATTAATGAGTACATTTTAATTGATATTAACATGTATTTGGCCGGGCATGGTGGCTTACACCTGTAATCCTAGCACTTGGGGAGGCCTAGGCAGGAGGATCACTTGAGGCCAGGAGTTTAAGACCAGCCTAAGCAAGAGCAAGACCCTGTCTCTACCATAAATAGAAAAGTTAGCTGGTCATGGTGGCGCACGTCTGTAGTCCCAGTTACTTGTGAGGCTGAGGCAGAAGGACGGTTTAAGCCCAGGAGGTTGAGGTTGCAGTGAGCTATGTTGATGCCTCTGTACTCTAGCCTGGGCAACAGAACAAGACCCTATCTCCAAAAGAAACAAACAAACAAAAATTATTATGTATTTGAATGTGAATTCATATTTATATGATATACATATTTATATGATATACAGTCACTTCTTGGTATCTGTGTGGGATTAGCTTCAGGACCACCACAGATACCAAAACCCAAGAATGCTCAAGTCTTTTATATAAAATGGCATAATATTTGCATATAATCTATACACATCCTCCTATATACTTTAAATTATCTCTAGATTACTTATAATGCTTAATACAATGCCTACGCATTACTTCATCCAAGTGGATTCAGTGTAGCACTTGGAGTGTGGCAAATTCAAGTTTTGATTTTTGGAACTTTATGGAATTTTTTTTCCCCCGAATATTTTTGATCCGCCATCGGTCGAATCACAAATGTGGAACCCATGGGTACGAAGGGAAGACTGTATATCCAAAATTTGAGTTTCAGTAAAAATTTTTTTTTTTTTTTTTTTTTGAGACAGAGTCTCACTCTTTTTGCCCAGGCTAGAGTGAGTGCTGTGGCGTCAGCCTAGCTCACAGCAACTCAAACTCCTGGGCTCAAGCAATCCTTCTGCCTCAGCCTCCCAAGTAGGCTGGGACTACAGGCACGCACCACCATGCCCGGCTAATTTTTTTTTCTATATTTTTTAGTTGTCTGATTAATTTTTTTCTATTTTTAGTAGAGATGGGGTCTCGCTCTTGCTCAGGCTGGTCTCGAACTCCTGAGCTCAAACAATCGCCCGCCTCGGCCTCCCAGAGTGCTAGGATTACAGGCATGAGCCACCGCACCCGGCCAGTAAAATTATTTTTTACTGCTTCATCAAGAACATTCTTAAGTGCAAGTCTTTGGTTTTAATACTGCCAGTGCACGCCTGTGAGTACAGTGGCTGCTATGAGAGTTGGGGGCCCTGCCTTGATTCTGCTACCAAGCTTACCGACCATTGCTTTTGCACCCTCAGTGCGAGCATCAACACAGTGTAAAAGACGAACAGAATCTCAGTATCATCATGTAAATAGTTTTGACCCTTTAGTTCCGGAGGGTCAAGACTGCCCCCCGACGGGTCCACGGACCACACGCTAAGAAGCACTGTTCTGTACTATGCATTCCTTAAAGGCAGAGATTGACTTTAATTTTTAAAAAATTATGTTGCTTATGTTACCTAAGCTGAGATTCATTTACCCACCTACAACATGCCCTTGTGTGACACTCCAAACCTCTCGTGGTCTTTCAGACGCTGGGTATGCATCAGTTAACGTTCGCTCACAGGACACGAGCTCTGCGGTGTCTCCTGTATTTGGCTGACAAGAAAACTATAGAATCTCTCTTTAAAAAACCCATTGAAGAAGTGAAGTAAGTAGTATTTTTTTCATTGTATTAAGAAACAGGAAACAGGTCATTTTTAAAACTGTAACTTTTAAGCCTTTTAATTCAGAAGAGCGTGTTAGAGTAGCTGCGTAAACGTGGTCCTGTTGCCTTGCTCTCGGCAAAGGGGCAACAGGCCTTTGAGAACATGTTTTCCTCATGTCTTGGAGACATTTAGAAACTGAATATTTTCTGTATCCTGCTCAAACTGATTTCTATCTGGTGCTACATTCAGTGAATATATTAGAAGCCCAAAATGGACATTTAAAAACAAACTGGCCTAATATTTTCATAGGTGGTTTGTATTTTAAATGTAAATGTGGCCCATGAGAATGATTCTTATAAACATCTCTGTTTTCCAGATCTGATTTGAAATGTATAACTTTTCTGGCATTATTTGAGACTTTGAATATCCCCATCACATCTGAACAATTTCGCAACAGTCCTAAAGAAGGAATGATTAAGGGTCTGTGGAAAAATCACAGTCACGAGGCCATGGTAGGTTCACCGAGTCTTCCAGGAGGTAGGGCCCTTTCTCACAGGCTGTCGTGTTCCCTCAGGTCCCTGAAAGACAAAACCAGAGAAACTCTTTAACCCCCAACAAGTCCATTGTTCTGAAACCTTTTCTACTTTCCCGTCCTGGCATGTGGATGGGTACGGCAACTTGGAAGGTCCCCTTACTGCTCTTCCTCGAAGCCCATGGGCTAATGCCATCCTTGTTGCCAAGAGAGAGCATTTTTATAATCCCTCCCGTGGCTTGTCTGTCCTCTAGACAGGGAGAAGAGACCCTCTGTCCCTATAGAGAGAGGGTATCATTTCTCCTCCTCCTAGTTGCCTATGAGAATTTAGTCTCTGAGGCAGATGGAGCCCAGGTGTGGAGTGAACAGGCAGACTGTTCTTAGAAGAAAGGGGGAGAAGTCTGAAGTTTTGTTTGTGAGTCCATGACAGCAAGAAAAAGAACATCTTTTTGCTTCTTTCATTAGAAAGATGGAAGTTGGCTGGGCACAGTGGCTCATGCCTATAATCCTAGCACTTTGGGAGGGAGAGAGGGGAGGGTTGCTCGAGTTCAGGAGTTCGAAACCAGCCTGGGCAACATAGTGAGATTCCGTCGCTACGAAAAAATTTAAGAAGAAAGAAAGAAGGAAGGAAGTCTTCAATAGACATTTTTGGATTGTAAGCATATTTTGTATTAAGTTGCCCTACCTTTTCTAAATGTAGTTGAATTTACTGGTGTCTGAAAGCATCATGGTTTTTTTCTTTTCTTTCCTTTTTTTTTTTCAGGCAGTAAGATTAGTGACTGAGCTTTGTTTAGAATACAAAATCTATGACCTGCAGCTTTGGAATGGACTCTTGCAAAAGCTTCTTGGCTTCAAAATGGTAAGTAAGACTCAGCGCCCTAGACTAAGTATATTTTGAAGCTTTTGTACAGCATCTCCTAAGCATTTTGCATTGGTACTTATTACTGAACAGATGTATGCTAAAAGCACATTCAGTCTCGCTGGGTTCATGCCATACTTAAAAGAACTTGATGTTAGGCCAGAGAGTACAAACTCAGAATTGACATAAATTTCACTGGGAACAAATGGAAGGTTCCCTGGCCTTTTTTGATGTTTATGAATTTGTAAGTGAACTTCCGTGGCAGTTCTTATGGAAGATAAATTTTTACTGATACTCCTTTTGAAACTTTAAGAATCTAGTATTTCACATCAAAATTTTGCATTTTAGTGGTCTTTAAAACTATTTTATTTTATTTTACAGATTTCTTATCTAAGGAGAGTTTTAAAAGCCATGTCTAGTATCTATTCTTTATGGCAGGTATGTAAATGTTGTTGAATTTAATCTTCATACTGCTGGCTGTGTGACTGCCGGGCACATGGATTAAGCAATCAGCTCCTCTGCAGAGCACAGAACTGATCGGCTGCAGGATTATGTTAAAGTCGTGTCACCTCCTCGAAGGCCTCACTTTCCTGAGTTCTGCAGGCCCCGCAAGTCATGTCTTCATTTACGCTCTCAAACCGTGTTGGCTCTATTCTAACATTTGTTGCAGTCTAATTTATTTTAATTAGACGTTGGGGCTGCCCCCTCGAGGATTGTGAAGATCTTTAAAGTCAGAGACCATGTCTTGTTCATCTTTTATAAATTTCACAAAACAGGGACCCGTATAATCATCGTAATATATATTATATAGAAATATACTGAGTAAAACGTGGAAATTCTCCTTTATTATTTCCCTTCATTACTGTCTCCCCAGAGGTAACCACTGTTTACTATTTCCTATGCATTCTTAGGGAGTCTTCCGGTTATTATATAAGTACACGGCTGCGTCTGTATTTATACAATTGACCCTTGGACAATACGGGGGTTAGGGGAACCGACCTCCTGTGAAGTCAAATCCTTGTACAACTTTTGACTCCCCCAAAACTTAACTACTAATAGGCTACTGTTGACCAAAAGCCTCACTGACAACATGAACAGTCAATTCACACATACTTCGTATGCTATATGTATGTATTATGTACTATATGCTTACAATAAAGTAAGCTAGAGAAAAGAAAATGTTATAAAGACAATCATAAAGAATAAAAAATATATTTACTATTCGTTAAGTGGAAGTAGATCTTCATAAAGGTCTTCATCCTCATTGTCTACACATCGAGTAGGCTCAGGAGGAAGAGGAGGGGTTGGTCTTGCTGTCTTGAGTGGCAGAGATGGAAGAAAACCTACCTGTAAGTGGATGTGCACAAACAGTGTTGTTCAAGGGTCAACTGTGTGTATATCTTCATATACGTAAACGCAGTCACATTCTAAACAAAGTATTATTTTCCTGTAACATTGGTCTCTGGGAGATTGTTCCATATCAGCGCGTATAGATCTATGTCATTTTTTTACTGAGATATAATGACATGTAAAATTCATCCTTTCGAAGTGTACCATTAAGTAGTTTCTATATTCACAAGGTTGGGCAGCCATCACCATCATCTAATCCCAGAACATTTTCCTCACCCCCAAAAGAAACTGCATCTTCATTAGCGATCATTCCCCATTCCCCACTCCCTCCAGCCCCAGCAGCCACTCATCCCCTTCCTGTCTCTGTGGATTTGTCTATTCTGGACAGCTCGTGTCAGTGGAATCACATAGTACGTGGCCTTTTGTGTCCTGCTTCTTTTACTTGGCATAATGTCATGTCGTATCATGTATCAGAACTTCTTTTCTTCGTATTGCCGAATAATGTTCCATTGTGCGGATATACTACGTTTTATTTATCCGTTTGTCCATTGATGGACATTTGGATTGTTTCCACTTTTTGGTTATTATGAATAATGCTGCTATGAACATTTGTGTGCAAGTTTTCACATGTACATATGTTTTTCATTTCTCATGAGTATATACCTCGGATTGTTGGGGCTTATGATAACTCTATAGCCTTTTGAGGTAGTTTGTTATTTTAAATTCTTAATTCTGAAGTAAAATGAAGTAAAATGCACCAAAAGTTATTTAACCACTCCTCTGTTGATGGACGTTTGCGTTCGTATTCACTTTCTTGAAATAATTCCTCTTGACCCCTTCCCCCTTTCCTGTAGCCCCGGCACAATGTCTGCCATGTAATAGGCTTAGTATTAATTTTGTTTTCTGAGTCCAGTTCTGACACTTTTTGCCAAATAGAACAATAATGAATCAGCCAGGATCGTATAACAAGATCCTGAAATATAGTTATGAAGGACTATAGAACTGTAATCATCTCTAATGGGAAGTTAGCAGTTTGTGATTTCGGTCTTAGCATCCTGAGTATAAGCTTTAAATGTACAGTTTTGTGACTGCAAAATAAAGAAGAGTTTGTAGGCCGGGCACAGTGGCTCACACCTGTAATCCCAGCACTCTGGGAGGACGAAGCGGGCGGATTGTTTGAGCTCAGGAATTTGAGACCAGCCCGAGCAAGAGCAAGACCCTGTCTCTACTAAAAATAGAAAGAAATTAATCGGACAACTAAAACTATATAGAAAAAATGAGCCAGGCATGGTGCTGCATGCCTGTAGTCCCAGCTACTCGGGAGGCTGAGGCAGGAGGATCGTTTGAGCCCAGGAGTTTGAGGTTGCTGTGAGCTAGGCTAACGCCACGGCACTCACTCTAGCCAGGGCAACAGAGCGAGACTGTCTCAAAAAAAAAAAAAAAGAGAGTTTGTAAAATCCCACATATGGATTCTTCAATGGACTTCTTTCCGCAGGTGCCCTACTTCAGCAAAGCTTGGCAGCGTGTGATTCAGATACCACTACTTTCAGGTATTTCTCTCTCCTCTGAAACACTGGCAGAGCATTCTGTATCTGTGTGTATGTATATCATCGTTGTTTTTTATCTTCAGCCTCTTGTCCTTTAAGCCCTGGTCAGCTATCAGAGTGTTGTGAGAGTCTCATCGCTGTCCTAGAGTAAGTAAAACATCTGCTCACCTACCAACAAAATAAAATTTGTTGCTTATAGGATTCCTTTTTAATAGACATCTCATGTGAGTAAATCCTTTATGTTGGGAAGTTATGCATAACACTTGTTTTTATAATAAAATATCTCTGTTTTTGTGATGTTTACTTTCCACATGTGGTACAACTAGTAAATCAATATTCAATAAGCATTCTCTAAAAATTAGTATTAATACCAGATGTTAATGTAAGTATAGAGTACCTTTTGTGTTTACCCAAATCGCATAATGTTGTCCCTTAGATTTTGAGTCGTCCGAGAATTTAGGTGTCTGTAGGCTTTCACACATAATCATGGCAGCAAATTGTAGTCTGTGTTCCTGTAGGTAGATTCTTTTATTCCACGTCGTATACCATCAAAGACTCGAGTTACTCATTACTAAGCATGTGTTATGTTCCAGCACTTTAGTGTCTAAAATTATTGAAAGCCTGGACAAGTAAATGACTATGGAAAGCGAAAAAGGCAAATATAATCTAGTGACTCTGACAGATTATTAACCAATTAATGCACTCTCTCGAAGATGTCCAGTTTCAGATGATCTCGACATGATCGGGGTTGCCAGGCAGTATGTCCAGTTGGAGCTTCCGGCTTTTGCATTAGCTTGTCTGATGCTCATGCCACACTCAGAGAAAAGGCACCAGCAAATTAAGGTATCTTGCACATGATTCCTCTGGGACGACCAAGGAAATGTAAGATCTCATCTTGCATGTCCCTTGCAAAAGCTTGCATTTTCTTTTCACCAGACCTGTAAAGCATATCAGTATAGGTGAAGGAGAAGTTTTGTGTGGGGGTTTAGTGGGAGGTAAGACAGAAAGATAGATTAAAGTCCAACTGGGGGATGTCTTTAAAGAGACGTTGGAGCTTTTTCTTTATCAGTGGGGAACAGTTGATTTTCTTGGAAGAGTGAAGGGAAATGATGAAGGCCATATTTTAGAAGGAATAACCCATTAACCCATGTAGGCTTGACCAGAGGAGAGAGGTAGGTGATCAGATGGGGAAGTCTTGGGAGGCTATTGCATCTGAACAGAATTTCATCGCATATAATCCACACATAACAACCCTGTGGGTAGGCAGGGAAAGCTTGAGGGGTAGGTACCCGAGGTGGTGGCAATGAACTTGAACAAGATGGAAAGGCTGCAAAGAAAGCAGTGACATAGTGATTAGATGTGGGAGATAAAAGAGAGGGGGAGCCAGATTTTACATGTGGGTGCCTAACAAAAGGAGCCACGAGCATTTCGAGGACAGAACTCTTAAAAAAAAAAAAAAAAACTAACTCTCTTTTTTATTAATAATATAGAATAAAGAGAACAAAGCGGTTTGAAATGTTGTACGGTTATTTCCCCCACCTGCAGATATGCCAGTGCATAGAGATCTATATAAACGAACATGCATATTTTTTATTTGTCATTTGGTCTATTAATTCCATTTTCTCAAAGCCATCTGTGCTTGTCTTTTTTTTTTCCTCTTTTGATTATTCATAAATTCATCCCTCGATACTTGTCAACATTTCAGTATTTAAATAGATTCCTTTTAGCACTTAGGACGACAGAATGCCTGATAAACAGCTCTTGCTGTTGGAATAAGTCTTTGTAAAACGCTATTTTCCATCATTTCAATAATTTTCTGTTGATAAGTGTTTTTTCCTAGATTAGAAATTCTTTAAAATATTTCAAACGTAAAGATGAAAACCTTCCAGACTTGACAGAAATTAGTACTCATGATACTTTTCCATTAATTATACTTCGATTTGTCTCTAGAATTTTCTGGGCTCATGTGATCCTCAGATCATTTTACAGCAACTAGAAGAGCATATGAACACCGGCCAATTAGCAGGATTTTCACATCAAGTAAGAGGCGATTTCATCTCCCTTTTTTGCTATGAAAATTTTGATATTAGAACATTATCATTTTTCCAAACCAAAATTAAGCTGGGAACTACTATGTGTAGCTGTTTATTAATATATAAAATTATTTTGCTTTTATTAAAACCTCAGTAAATTTTTTAAAAGGCAGCGACCCTGGCTGTCTTGCTTACTTCTGTGCTCAGTGGAAAATTTGTAGCTTTAAACGCTTATAATTGTAAACAGATCTTCTTTCTCATAAAAGTCTCAAAATGATTGACAACAATTACTTTCTTATTTTTTTACCATCTGCTGAAATGGGCCAAAGCAGCCCTCCTTCCCCTTAAAATGAGGCTTAGTCACAACACAACGATAATTCAGCTTCTGGTTGTCAGAAATGTTTATTGAATAAGGACTTGGAATTTAACACGTTTTTAATGTAATGATACTTATTCTATAGATTAGAAGTCTGATTCTAAATGATATCATAAGTAAGAAGGAGTTTGGGATTTTGGCAAAGACAAAATACTTTCAAGTGTTGAAGCTGCATATGATGAACACCAACAACATCTCTGAACTAGTGAACTATGTGGCAAATGATATAAGGTAAGTTAATTTTTTTAAAAAAATATTACTGTAAAATTTCCTTAATTTATCTTTACTTTGGAGGAAAATATCAAACAATTGTAGAGCTATGTGGTCATCATTTAAAACTCCAAATATTAAACCTTCCAGTACTGCTCATACCTGGAAATTAGTGGTCTTATAACCCAACCCCTTGGAACGTGAACTTGGAATCACACAATTAAGCAAGTTGTCTGAATCCCCCAAACCAGTGTCTGACAGTCTGCTCTAAACCCTAACTTACGACTTTATTCTTCAGACCCTTGCTCAGACAATGGTGGCTTTCTGTAATACGTACTTTTTGCTAAGCTTGGTTATCTCATTTTCCAGCACCCGTGAGTTCAGAAACAATAAGCTGCTTGGGACAGGGCTGGGGGTGGATATGGAAAGTGAAAAGAAGGAAGAAGTGTGTGACACCGGAGAAAGGGCAAGTTCAGTGGGGCTTGCGGTACCCGCCGGCTCCGTCCCCACGCTGGATCTGACTGTGCGGGTCGCTTGAGAAGTTTCCCTTTCTCTTTACCGCACCTTTCTGCTGTTTAACGCTCGTGATCAGCCATAATTACTTACTGTCGTTTATGTTTTATTATTTGTGTGATTTTTTGAGGTATAATTGATACATATCATAAGCTGCACATATTCGAAGTATGCAATTTGAGAAACTTTGACATATGAATATACCCATAGAGCCACCACCACAATGAGACAGCGAACATATTTACCACCCCCAAAAGTTTCCTCATGCCTGCTTTTTCCTTTTGATTCCATAGTGTAGGTGAAGCTTCAGTCTTGGTAACTGAATATTCAAAGCATCTCGGGAAACCTGTACCGCCAGACGCCTCTCCCTGTGACATCCTAAAGGTAAAGCAGGGAGTTCTTAGCTTCTGAGCTGACTATGTTTATATTTCTAGGGTCTTGAAATATATCCAGCCTTTTCCGGTGTCCTGAAGATAAATGTATTTTTGTGTGTGACTGTGTGTATTTTCATATTTTACTTTTTGTGTTAGAGAGTTTAAGAGGCCATGGTTCTGATCTCAGTTCTGCCACTGAGCAGCAAAGCGACTCAACCCGCATGGACTTCAGTTCTTCAGGCCTGGGTCACACGGTCTCTTGGGCGCTTTCTAGCATCATGAGTCCTTGAAGTGTTTTTAATGTTGAAGCAAGTGAAAAACTAAATTTTAAAAGATACTGATTACTGTCATGCTTGAGCATTCATTGCTTTTTAAGTTCATTCTTCTTTTTCAATTACCTAAGATATATATGTTTACTCTAGAAAAAAGAAATATGGAGAAACAAAAAAGACCAAAATTTAAAACTAAACTCATCTCCTGAAATCTCACTACCCAGAGACAGGATCACTGTTAACATTTTGCTGTACATCTTTCCAAATTATTTGTGTGTATGAACCGTGCATACAATTTACTTGTACTCCTATTTTGAATTTAAATATCTGAGGTAACATTTTTACTTGATCATGTTTTGCTAGTTTTAGTAAACCTGAGTATTGTGGCCTTTCTCCTTGCTTTCGTCCAGGTCAGGCATATTATTAATAAAATAAGCCTATGTTCTGTTAACTCCCATTAATAACTTACAGTGTTCACTTCTGGTCTGTTGTGCTCAACAGCATAAGATTACTTTTTTCAAAAAGGGAGGATATTGATTCAGGAAATGAATTTATAACCCTTAAACTGTATCTGTCTTTCTCCAGTCATATCTGATTTATCTAAAATGCCAAATAATTTTTACATGTAGATTTTTGTCACAACAGTTAAGTCTTAAGTTCTGTAGTTTATCTGACCGGTTTCTGTTTTAAAAAATTAAGCGATGCTGATAAAAACCGCTTCTGTGTTTCTTCCCATTTAGATGTTTCGTACTGGATTATGGTAAATCATTGAACCTTTTTTCAAGAAGGACAGGAGCAAGTTTGGACTCTGCTACAAATGGACCGTATTTATTACAGTTTTAAATTGTGCAATCTCTGTGTTATAGCAATTTGTCAACCATCATCCCCCAAGTAATATATTTAATATTAGTATAATTGCCCCATAAAGAACTCATGCCCTGGAATTAATAAATCTTTTCATTGCCCGTTTCTTGTATAAC